ATAATAAAAAATAAAAAAATGAAAAAAGGACGAAGTAAAAATAATGAAGAACGAACTAATAATTTATATACATATTTACATTATTATCTTTTTACAATTTTATGGGGACTGCATGGATAATAAATGATTAACCAGACGGGATTTAAAGATAGGAAGAGTATTGGATTGACGGATGAGGGAAGGGATGGAGTTCCATAGAGATGAGGACCGGATAATGCACGTTCTGTCGAAAGCAGCGGTTGGCTGGGCCCTTACGTATAAGTCAGAAGACCGAGAACGAGTATTGCGGAAACGAACAGAGGATTTGAATTGAAGAAGCGCCGGAGATGTATGAAGGACGGTGGGATTGGATGACTTGAAAGAGGAAGGATGCCAGGAAATACATACGACAGTAGGAAGGATAAAGCCACTTCAACTCTGCATAAAAATAGAAAACAGAGGCGTCCCTTGGGATACCCAAGAAGAATCGTACAAAGAAATTTATCAAATGTTTTAGTTGCGCTTCGAGATCCCCAGATCCGCCCCCATATACCGTACAGCAATAGTCCAAGTGGAGAACAATTAAGGAAATGACTAGAAACCTACGAGTTTCAAGGGGAAATAGGTGAGGGGAGTAATTTAGACTTGTTAAGGTGGAAATGGTTCGGCTGGAGATATTCGATACATTGTTTTACCAGAAAAGCGTTTGATCAAAGGTTTTTGATGGATTGATAAAATTTGATGGAATTATCATGTAGGAACAGAGTTGGAATATTAGGAACAGTTTCAAGGAGGCGATGGGAGCCAATTAAGATTACCTTCGTCTTTTCCGCATTCAACTTCAGCTTTTTAGCTCTCATCCAGTCATGAATCCTATCCAAGTCTTCTTGACGTATTTCTGTGGCTGATAATAGGTCGGAGGATGGGAAGGACAGGTATATTTCGAAATCATCCGCAAAGATTTGGTATTGGGAGTGATGTATTAGGAAGAGAAGGTCATTAATGTAAATAATGAGGGGAGCGTCTTAGATGGAGTTAACCTGGGATGACTATATACAATTTAATTGTATTAATAGTAAGGAGCATTTGTTATTATGAATGCTCCTTCCGAACATTTCATAGATGGTTCCTATTACAACCTTAAATTGTAAAAATCACATTAATGCATTTTTAGATTCCTAGTGAAATAGGATTTCTAGATCGAATAGAATAGTATGGGATAAATAAACCTGTAATAGGATGGTCTTAACAAGGTTGTCATTTTATAGAATCGAAATTTTCTTCTTCCTAAAATTTATAAATATGGGAAGAGTTATTTCGAAATTGGTCTGCTTCATTTTTCATTTGGAAAAATATAATCCAATATTTAGAAAGAAAAAATGTAATAATATTCAGTGACGATGTAGTTCATATAATAAATCCATACATTGGGTATAATAGCTAAACTATAGCACAAGCCAAAGTTGGCGTCTTGGATTATTACAAAACGCGAAACGCGCCTTTAAGTCTATGCGTGTTTTCATATGTTTACCAATTTTTTTTACATTTTTTACCAAAGGGTCAAATTTATATTCTTTAGACGTTGTTTCTATAGATACAAGATGCAAGAAAATGATGTCACAAGAAAGAGCATATCGTCGGGTTTTTTTTGCAAAAAGTCTGTCTAAAAACAAACCCTTTTAGTTAACAAAAATCGTTACATTAAGTACACTCATCGTTCTGATTACACAGATAGAAAAATCATCAAAATGCTTAATGGTTTAATTTTACTTAATGATTACAATGATTTCACGATATGCTCAAAAATATACATGGAATCTGAAAAAAAAAAATCCATCAAGCTGGTATAAGTTTTTTCCATTGGTGATTTGAAGAAATAAAAAAAAAAAAAAAAAAAACTGGCTACCAAATATACAGTACCCAGTACACGAGCAGCATATCGCTGTATTTCCGATTCGTACGCAGCAGTACAGCGTCCGTATTACACCTGCTTTTATGATTGACCTTAGTAAATTTAATCACTGTTTTCTCAGAGAAAATTTTGTCTACTTTACGATCGTGTACTTAGAATCTAATTACTTTGAATAGTTTCTCAGTAATTCCTACTTATTTAATAAAAAACGTGACCACCTTAAGGAAGACACAAAATTGGTCTTCACTACTTTTTCGTTTGGAATCGGACCATGCATCAAATGAACTTTTTTGTTATAAATTTTCAAATAAATACACTCACTCCTCCACTCCCTCTCACTCAGAGTTTAACCATAAAGACCTGAGATGCTATCAGAAAAACTGTATATAACATTCCACTTTAATAAAAAATGATGTGGGTTGTTTCCAAATCGCTAAAAGATTCACTTGTAAAATTAATCATAAATCCTAATTTCAATTTAAATATTTCAGTAAAATATTTTCTCCACGAATATATCGTTCCACAGGAATTTCCAAACTTTCCTTTCTGATCTGAATAACTGTCAGTACATCTAAGTTATAAATATAAATGATTTCAAAAAGAATAACAGGACGTCATGTGCAGTGATGAACGGCTATTGAATGCTGAAGTACAAAGTTGAATGGTGTCTGTGGTTCTTTTGAAGTCCAACTGAAGGCACTTTTAAAAGCTCCCCAACTTTCCTGGTCATCAATGGAACAGTCAATAATCGTTTGCTTTTTTTTTCCAGACAACCTTATTGTACAGGGAATTTATTATGACATAACAAATAAAAAAAAAGAACAAAGTGGAGATAATTCTACTATAAAAATATCTTTATTAATGGTTCCTTGTCAGCTCCTATCGATGAGAAAGTACATGAAACAACAGCAGAAGAAACATTTACTAGTAGAAATAACAGCAAATCATATCTAACCACATGATATGTTTCGATATGAAAGCGGTGACGGTCGAGTGTGTTGTCTTAGCAACCTCCATTCGGTTTCGATTCGAGTCCGTCTGGACGGATTAAATTTATTTCATAGTGATCTCACCGTGTGAATTTCAATCTTTCTACTCTGTTTAGAATAGTATGGGTACATGCAACATACTCCTCCCGTATGTCAGCAATGGCCAGGCAGAGGAAATGAAATTAAAAAAATAAAATTCTGAATTAATATAGAATAAAATTGCTATTATTATTTTTAATTTTTTTACCAATAAAAAAATATATATTTTTTTTATTAATATCATTATATTATTAATAAGTTGTAAAAAAAGGAAATATTTTGTATTAGGTTTTTTACCGAAACAATTATTGATATCTGTTACCTATATTACTATATAGACTCCATAAAAACTGTAATTGCAGAAGCGGAACAAACCAGCCTACAAGTGAATAAATAAGGATAATAATAATATAAATAATAAAAGGCTTAACGAACCCGAAGGTTCGATGCCTTACACACCTCCCTCCACCGTTCGCCGTCCAAACCTAGTCCCTTCAGATCGACTTTAATGCAATCTGCCCACCTTCGCTTCGGTCTATCCCTCGGACGTTTATCATTTGGTACAGCAAATATTAACCTTTTTAGGAATTCTCTCGTTACCAAGCCCAACAATTTTACAGGCCCATTAATAAATAAGGATAAAACTAAATATATGGTCGTGAGCAGAAAACAATAACCCAGTATGATTTTGAGTCACAAAATTTGTTTAAATTTCTCTTGAATCAGTTCCTTCGTATTTTCTTTTGATTTAATTTTTATATGCATTTCATTCAGTTTCTGTCACGGAAAGGAATCAATTATATTATACGTATAAATTTAGTGATGTAAAGATAGGATTTTTATCTTGCCGGTTTTTTGTACAGCTTTCTAGACTGAATTTTCCAGATAATTATTAAAACATTACTTTAATTATTGTTTCATTTTATTCTTGTCCTATTATTTAATATTATTCTTTTATTTACCTCATCCATTCCAACTATTCTGTAATAGATATTAACTATTCTTATTGTAGGAATGATTCGTCAATCATTTGTTATCCATAATGATATGTAACATGTTTAGCAATCACAAAATGACCCTACTTAGAATTTAATTTAATTATCGAAACAATTGCCATATATTATGTTACACTAATTGAATATATTATCGAAAAATAAATAAAATGATCAGAGAGAAATACAGTGGAACTGTACAGCTGATTACCTATGTTGAGTTGTTATAACACCCAGCATACTGATCAGTCCTAATCGATATTATTTAATGATAGAGAACAAAACTGATCAAGTTCTGCGGAATTATCATCCAAAGTACCGAATGTTATCATTTACAAACATAAACATATTCATTTATAGCTCTGCTGTACGTTTTAAAATGTGTCCAAAGCTCTAGTTTATATAAATAGGATTCATAGGCGCCGGCATCATGGGGAAATGGGGGGGGGGGATCAAGCAGCTTCCGCCCCCAATAATTTATGAAGGAGGTTTAGCCAATATTTTCGCAGTCATTTATTTAAAAATAACTAACGAAAATATCAATAAACCGTACAGTTAATAATTACATAATGTTACTGATTATTAAGTTACAATGTGCGAACTGCTTACAGAAACTAGTCAATCAATATCTCGTGATATGAAGGCAAGGGGGGTTAAGATGGGCGGGGTATGTAGCTCGTAGCAATCCATCTGGAAGCCTCTCCGTGACAATGAATTCCTCAATAGGCAAAAGACCACTTGGAATCCAAAAAGCAGATGATTCTATAGATAGAATCAACAAAGATGCAAAAGAGCTGCGTGCAGATAAATGGAAAGAAATAGCCCAAGACAGGCAGATATGGAGCAGGCTTGTTAAAACGGCAAAAGATCTACATGGTTTGTAAATCCAACAGGAAAAAACTATGTTACTCCTTTACGTGTGCTATTCTAGCAAACTTTCCTCCTCCAATGCACTGAACACTATATGAATCATGTGATCTCAATCTTGCCCTCCCCCCCAATATTTCATAAGTGCCCGTGCCTATAGAATTAATATGAATATTAACAATAATTACTAATATAAAATAAAAAAAAAAATTTTCAACTTACTGTAGACTTTGATGGTTCCATCGGTATCGCCTAAGGAGTTCTTAGCAACGCATTTGTACGAGCCATAGTCTTGTTCACTCACCGCCCTTATAGTAAGCTTCATGTGTACTTTGTATGCGTTGTCCACCAGCACTGGCTCGTATTTAGCACCTTGAAGGAAATAAGTATTAACATTAATTATTATAAATATATATAACAATTGAATTATTATGACAGAATTATATTTAAAACAGAATTAATTTGTTCCATGCTATTCAACAGATTGTTTTGCGGTATGGTATATCGGACACGCCTGTTGAGTTGTAATCTTTAGTTACTTTCGATATAATATTATATACGATATAACTAATTATTACTTCAGCAAAATTTCATGTCAATTAGATACCATGGAGCAGAATGAGTAGAAAATAACTGGTAAAATACAGAATTGAACAATGCTTCTGTTAAGAAAAAATATAATAAAATGTTTTAGTGCACTTAAATGAATCTATTTCTTTTCATTCTTTTTTTAAAAACTTATTTGTTTAAAGAAACAAAGGACTAAATAAAATATTTTTAAAAAATAAAAAAATACCAGTTTCTAATTAAAAACATAATTTGAAGCTATGGAATGAAGATTAAATTGTTAAAACATTTGCGAATAAATTGAAGCAGTTTTGATAAATATTTATCAAAATATGAAAAAAAAAACAATATAGCTTGTTATTAACTGTTGTTTAAGGGTCTAAAGGCTTTTTCTGCAATCTTCCAATAATATCCAAATAGTTTCTTATTTGTGTAACTTAGGTCAGGTCTCTTTCCGAAACGAATAATTTGGGTTTTGACTTCTTATTTAAGTTAAGTTCAACGTCAAAGTCAATTGAATACTTAGATGGAAATAAAATAGTGTAAATTTGAGCTGAAATAGAATTCAAGTGATAAAGAACGTATATAAGATTGAGATGATTTTTTTGTTTAGCTAAAAACTTGAAATAATAGGGAGTCTCAGAGATATGGAGGAGAGTGGGGGGCGGGGTCTGTGTCCACTGTGGTCTGACGTACTTCAAACATCTCTTTCAATCAGACCTGCCTTTACAAAAACTAGTAAAATAAATTTTAAACTAAATATTTCTACGCAGAGACGACAGAGCGAGAGAAAAAAAAAAACTGAAAGATAGATATTTAGATACTTCGATAGATCTTTTTAAGCTTAAAGCTAAAACGTATGAAATACTCAATGGTATAAGCTGAAGACAATAAAATTGCAGTTTCACACCAAACTCTATCCCGACCACACGTATTCCTCTGAAGAAGACCTGTAAAGTTGGGTCGAAAAGTCGGGTTGAAATAAAATATTTCTTTTTTTCACTATTTGAAGTATATTTATGACCGTCACCCCGAACTATCCCCTTCCACAATAATATACAACGTTCAACTATAGCGAATTTAGTATAATTTTAACAAATGTTATTTTACAAAACCGTTGACCTTCAGGTATTGATAAGAAATTATATTTCAATATAGATAATTATATAATTTATAATTATGTATCTTAAAAAAAATAAAGGGAAGCAAAAGGCTATCCCAGTTGGATCGAAATAGCTTCCTCACTATTACTGTTGGGTACATAATTACCCAATACTATATATAGTAAAGGACATTATTGCGTTCGTGAAAATTTTTGAAGTCTCCTGAGTCCAAATAACCAAGTCCGCAAAATGGTGTGTGTGTTTGTATGTACGTGTGTATGAGGCAGGTCTAGCTTATAAACGAAAAGTCGAATGAAAGTGAAATTGCATATTTAAGGTTTGTATATACAGCAACTTTTTCTCAAAATCGGCTAACCGAAAGTGCCACTTTATAACATTGTATTTATATATATATATATATATATATATATATATATATATATATATATATATATATATATATATATATATATATATATACATATATATATATTAATATTCGATGTAAATATTCTTATGGCATTCATTAGAAGGAACATTGTTTGTTTCGTTATTAATTATTTCAAGATCAATGATTTATCATTTGAGAATGAAATCAGTGAGAGTTTTTGAAATATAGTCAAGGAGAATACATGTAAGCATACGCAAATAAAAGTAACCATGGATTTAAATAAGCCTATAATTTATTGTGGAAGCTAGAAACTACTTAAGTTTTATCGAGTAAGGAGATGGTCCGGGCTGGCGGTCATAAAAATATTAAAATAGTGAGAAAAAAAAAACTATTTTATTTCAAGCCAATGTTTCGACCCGACTTTGCAAGTCTTCATCAGGACTAGAAAAAACAAGATACAAAAGTATATAAACAATGTGAATAAACTTATTAAAATTATAAACAGTTTGAATAAAAAGAACATAGAAATATTAATCATAATTTTTAATTAGAATAAAGAAATTTTAACCATCATAATACTAATTTGGACTGTTAAAATTTCATCAAAATCGGACTAATGGTAAAAGGTGTTATGTCCATCACATGAATTTGAGTACAGGCCGATATGGAATCAAATTTGTTCCTAAATATCTTAAATGTAAAATGTGAATGGTGATTTTCAATTCAGAAATCAACCTTTTTTCACTGCCTGATAATTTTTTTAACTTCTGTAATGAGAAAGCAAAATTAAATAGTGTTTTTTAAAAATCAAAGTGGATGTTTTAAGAATGAAAACTCCATGGGTTATCCTAAAGTCTTCATTTGTATTTTTTTAGTTAAAGTAGATTACTTTGTATTAATTTTGATACAATCAATTGATACAATTGATTATTAGTTCCTCCATTAGTTCTATGTTTTTTAATGAATGGTTTTAGTAGTCCTATGGCCGATGCATATTAATAAGAAATTCCTTTTGAGCAGCCGAAGTAGCGGTTGAATTACCTCTCGGAGAGGAGTATTACTTAGAAAGTTGAAGCTGGCGTTGGAGGGCTCTAGCCTATCAGAGAATGGTGTAATCAACCGACTTAAACAATCTAGTGATTAGGAGAGTTGGTTGACACATCTCACTGGGACTTGCTGTAATGCCCATTGTCCTCCTACTGCTTCCACTTCTACTCTCCACAATTCAAATTAGGTTAGCCAGTTTGAATAGTAATCTCTATTTAAATTTTGGCTCTCGGATCTAGTTTGTAACGGAATTCCAATCACAGCATCATTGAACGAAATCACCAATGAATGAAGGATTCGGCTCTGTTACCATTCATGATAAAATTAAATTCGATGTGACACCATTCTACTATACTCTCAACTATCAGAAAACATTAAAATTATCTTCTATTCAAATATGAATTTCTTTATTCTATTTATTCTTTTGTCACCGTATTTAAATGTGAAAACACACAGAAGAAACGTAAGACAATAAATGAATCAAACTACATTGCTCACTCTTTTTCGAAATTGGATACTTACAGTCGCGTACATTTAAGCTCTAATATGATTAAAGTGATAATAAGAAATAAGAACTTAAGTAAATAAACTTTTTAAGTAATAACAAAAAGGTTCCTATTTTGCTAAAAACTTAAAATAATGCCTCAAGAAGATGTGATGAGGACTGAAGGCGTAGTATGAATCCAGTGTCTTGTGACAAATACGGCTGCGAATCACGATAATGGCAAAGTATCCCTCAGTTCTAGTTTATTAACATGGACTTCTAAAACCTAATAAATTTCGAACAAAATATTTTCATTCAGAGATGACAGATTGGGCGAAAAACAGAAAAATATTTTTCGGTTGAAAGTTTTGAAACTGGAGACATTATCCTAAAATAAAAGTATAAGATACCAACACTATGAGCATGGCTCTGGCAAGTCATGAAGTGGTGTTCTTGCTCTCGTGGAGTAGATCTGTCCCCACCACTTTTCTTTAACGCAAATTATCTTTGCAAATATGCTTCAGGGAACTACGTAAAAACAGTTTTTAAAACTTCTTTATTATTAAGTATTTAGATGAAGAATATCAGAACAGTAGATAAAAGATATTAATCTATATAGTAAAACAAATGTTGTTCCATCACAGATGATTTTTTAAGTTTAGTGAGAAATTATTTAACTGTAGATAAATTTAGCACTGCTTGTATATCTCATGTTTTCGTTCTCTGCACCGTGATTCCTCTAACTATTTTCTATTGCATTTTCTAAATTATAACCTTTTCCCAGTTGCTTTGCTGACACGATCGAACACAGTTGCACCATACAACAGAGATCCGGCTGTATTATGCTTGCATAGATGAGGAACTTTAGGCGTAAAGATAGGTTTGTTGTCGAAAGACAAGTTCGTACGTCTTAGATCCTACTGTTTTAGTTTTTTTGCCAAAATGTCAAGTAAATTTTAAATTTTTGTCGAAGTGAATACCTGAGATATGTCGAGTCAGTCCATAATTAATACTTATCTGTCGATAAGTTAATTTTGAATTCATTTGTCATTTTAGTTTTTTCCTTTTTCAAATGAAAATATAATTCCTTGTCAAAAATATAAACATTGTCTATATAGCTTATAGGATACTATTGGAGATCGGTATTTTAATCATTAAGAGTAAATTTTTTATTTATAAAGTCCTCATACTGAAATAAGTAAATAAGAAGGAGCTCATGGGGGGTGCGGTCAAATAAATACTAAATTTTACAATTAGTATTATTTAATTTTTATCAGTCTGGAACTGCGACGTATGGATTGTGGGTTTGTATCTTGTTGTTGAGCCTGTGGTAATGCAAAACATTACTCTACATCATTATGAAATAAGTAAATATTGAAAAATAATGGAATATTGTTTATTGCATCTTATCTACTTTTATGCCTAAAACCATTTAAGTGAAAACGCATACATACGTCAAATAATGTACGAAAAAATAAAAAAATGTTCGAAAATTATCAGACTTTTTTTCATAAATTATTAGTAAAATGAAAAGATTTTAGAGGCGCTCCAGATCCATTAGATGGGTCTTTGCGCCAGATATGATGATGATGATGTTACAAATATGCTGCATAGAATAAATATATAATACATACATACATAAAATTCATGCACAGGTATTTAAAATCTTTTGATATAAAATCTATTAAAATTTACTAAGAAGTGTGAAATGAAAAATTATTTATGTAACTTTTGGATTGGGATATGTTTGATTATTTATGGAGCTGTATTTGTTTTTTGG